ACATGACTCGTCCCGAACCTGTCCATCTAGCCTGAGCACCTCAGCTGGACTGCCATCATTGTTTACAAGCCAGGGTGGCCGCTTGCATGCATACATTCGATTCATTTTGTATTATTCCATTGTTTATAGTGCTTGTAACTGCTAAATAAGCCACCATGGGCCCAAAGAAAGCTTCTAGTGCCAACCCTGTGGTAAAAAGGGCGAGAAATATGTACTATTGTACCACGGTCAGCTGCTGCTGAACCACCGTCAGCTGTTGCTGCACCACAGTCAGCTGCTGCTGCACCACAGTCAGCTGTTGCTGAACCAACGGTCAGCTGCGCTGCACCACAGTCAGCTGCTGCTGCACCGCAGTCAGCTGCTGCTGCACCACCATCAGCTGTTTCTGATCAACATGACTCGTCCTGAACCTGTTCATCCAGCCCTGCCGTCATTGTTTACAAGCCAGGGTGGCCGGTTGCAAGCATACATTCGATATATTTTGCATTATTCCATTGTTTATAGTGCTTGTAACTGCTAAATAAGTCACCACAGGCCCAAAGAAGCTTCTAGTGCCAACCTGTGGTAAAAAGGGTGAGAAATATGTACTATCGTACCACCATCAGCTGTTGCTGCACCACAGTCGGCTGTTGCTGCACCACGGTCAGTTGCTGCTACACCACCATCATCTGTTGCTGCACCACGGTCAGCTGCTGCTGCACCAAAGTCAGCTGTTGCTGCACTACGTTCAGCTGGTCCTAGTGGCATTAAAAGAAGAAGGGAAGTAACCCCGGAAAAGGACGTGCTACCTAAAGCCCTAATGGAAGGGGATTCCCCTTCTAAGCATTAACAACTTCCGTACTCTCCCCTCTTTCCATCCCATCATCACGAGATCTTCAATAAAGGTAAGTGTCAGTTTGTGTGTATTAAAATTAATATTTCATGTGGTAAAAATTTTTTTTTTTCATACTTTGTGGTGTCTTGCACGGATTCATTTGATTTCCATTATTTCTTATGGGGAAAATTAATTCACCTTACGATAATTTCAGCATAGGATGAGCTCTCAGGAACGGATTAATATCGTAAGGTGGGGGTCCACTGTATTGCATAAAACCATGGACACCTGTATTCTATACTACAGTATATGTATAATAAATATTGAAAACTTTGCTATAATGTTTAGCCCTTTCACCGTCGGTGACGTATATATACAGCTTACAAGCCAGTATCGGTGATGTATTAATACCCCAAAATTCTAGCGGCTTCAAATCTAGCACGAGAAAGCTGGTAGACCTACATGTGAGAGAATGGGTCTATGTAATCAGTGCGCGCAATATAAAAAAAAAAATCGGGGAGACCATAGTGCATTGTGGGAGTGCTAATTCAGTATGCCTTGTTCATACATGCCTAGCAGTAAGGAATACCTCACTCTCCGGTGAACTGAGACTTTTCCAAGTGACTTATTTCCATGTGAGTGGTAGGCAAGGTAGCGTGGGTGGTGGGGAAGGCAGAGTGGGTGGTGGGGAAGGCAGCATGGGTGGTGGGGAAGGCAGCATGAGTTTGTGTAAACAACATATCAGCATACATGTATGTGTAGATTACCTAGGATAACCCAAAAAAGTCAGACAGAGTGACTTATTTCCATGCGGGCGGTAGGGGAGGCAGCGTGGGTTTGTGTAAACATGTTTTGTAAACAATATAATGATAACAATATTTGTGCAGTTACTGTGTTGCATACAACAAGTTGATATATATACATTATATATATTGGGCTCACAGGCCACAGAAGTTACTTGAAGAAATAAAATATTAGAAAATAAAATAAAAAATAGAATAAAAGTAAAAATAATATTACCGACTGAGCGGCAGTAACCGATGTTGCTGTAAGCGGCTCACTTTCTGTCAACTTCACGCCTTTATATCTTGGTAAGTATTGATGGCAAAAAATTTTTTTTTCTTTTAAAACAATCAGAAAAATATCCTTAAGAATTTGGTAAAAAACAATTTTTTTTTTTAATATTTATTCGACAGTGAGAGCAAGTTTGTGATCAGGGGTCTCGACAGTGAAAGGGTTAAGAGCACCAAGTTATTAGACTCTATGTTATTAGGCCTATGTTATTAGACTCTATGACCGCGGGTTCAATCCCGGCCGGGGGTATGGTTTATTAGAAAATTCAGATATTTACAGTGTTGCAAATACAGTGAACCCCCGACTTACGATATTAATTCATTCCAGAAGTCTGTTTGGGTGCCATTACCGAACGAATTTGTTCCCATAAGGAATACCGTAAATTAGATTAGTCCGTTTCAGACCCCCAAAAATACACATACAAAAAGCACTTACAAAGTTACACTTACATAAATGTTCGAGTTTGGAGCTGATCGTAAGGTGGGGTCCACTGTACATAAATTTCATGTAAAGACAATAAAATTTGATGTAATAAGACTGCATTAACCCCTTCAGGGTCCAAGGCCAAAATCTGAAGTGGTGCTCCAGTGTCCAAGAAATTTTGAAAAAAAAAAAAAAAATTATTTTTTCTTACAGAATTAGAGTATATTTTTATGAAGGTAATAAGACAAAAAAAAATTCTGATCAGTACTTACCGAGATAAAGCGGTGGGAAATTGACCCAAAATGACCGGGTGGCGGCAACATCAGTGACTTCCGCAAAATTCCATTTTTTTATTTTATGTTTTTTATACTTTTTTCTTTTCTTTTCTAATTTTTTTCTTTTTCTAGTAACATTTGTGGCCTGTGAGACCAGTATAATGTATATTGTATAAGTGTACACTCATTGTATTCAACACAATAACTGCACTAATTTGTTTATCATTATATTGCTTACAAAACTTGTTTACAAGTTTATTGTAAACAAAATGATGAAAATATTAGTGTGGTTATTGTGTTGAATACAACGGTACCATATAGTACCATATGGTACAATGGTGCCATAGGGTGCAATGGTACCATATGGTGCAATGGTACCATATGGTACAATGGCACCATATGATACAATGGTACCATATGATACAATGGTACCATATGGTACAATATGGTACAATGGCACATGATACAATGGTACCATATGGTACAATGGTGCCATAGGGTGCAATGGTACCATAGGGTGCAATGGTACCATATGGCACAATGGCATCATATGATACAATGGTACCATATGGTACAATATGGCAAAATGGCACATGATACAATGGTACTGTATAATACAATGGTACCATATGGTAGAATGGCACCATTTATTTATTTTTTATTTATTTATTTATAATTTGAGCACACATACAGAGGTACAAAAAAATACAGATAAGAGCAGCATGCCAAAGCCACTTATACTATGCATAGCATTACGGGCTGGCTTAAAATTAACTTAAGATTAACTACAATGGTACCATATGATACAATGGTACCATATGGTGCAATGGTACCTTATGGTACAATATGGTGTAATGGTACCATATGATGCAATGGTACCATATGGTACATTGTACCATACAGTACAATGATACCATATGGTTCATTGTACCATATGGTACTGTTGTATTCAACACAAACACACTAATATTTTCATTATTATTTTGTTTACAATAGTTGTTTACAACAAAAATATGCAAAAATGTATATTAGTAATGTTCTATTATATATTTACAAGTGAACAGGAACTTTACGTGTTCCTTGAGGTGGATGACAAAGCACTTTGTCTCGGAAACTGCTGAGTCAGTAGCTAGCTTGTGTCGCCACTCACTCAGTCTTGGCTGGTGTCTCATGCCACCAACACCTATTGACCATATGGTACACGTTATATTACAGGGTACCATATGGTACATTGTACTATATGGTAAAGGGTACCATGCAGTACAGGATAACATATGGTGCAAGGTATCATATAGTACAGGGTACCATATTGTACAAGGTACCATATGGTACAAGGTACCATGTGGTACAGGGTACCATATGGTACAGGGTACCATACAGTACAGGACACCATATGGTACAGATACAGGGATAACTATGGAAATAAGTCACCCTGACTTTTTTGCGTTATCCTAGGATTTTATACATATGCTGCTATGTATGATAATCTATGTAATTGTATTTCTGTACACCTGAATAAACTTACTCAAGTGCATGTGGCATCATAAGTAAGTTTATTTAGTTATACACAAATAAAGTTACATAGAATATCATACTTAGCAGCATATGTTTGGAGAACCTAGGATAACCCCAAAAAAGTCAGACTTATTTCCATTAGGGTCCCTGTACCCTGTACCATATGGTACAATGTACTATATGGTACAATGTACTATATGGCACAATGTACTATATGGTACAATGTACTATATGGTACAATGTACTATATGGTACAATGTACTATATGGTACCATTGTACCATATGGTACCATTGTACCATATGATACCATTGACATGGCACCATTGTACCATATGGTAAAATTGTACCATATGGCACAATGGTACCATATGGTTCAAAACCATAGAATTCGTCTTCAGCTCCACTTCCATCAGTCTTAGAACTGTAAGTTGCGAAGAGGAGAGTCAGAATTCGCCCGGAGAGTGAGTGGGGAGTGAGAGCTTCCTTGCCGCCAGGCACTATGAACAAAGCTACTTTGCCGGCATTCCCACAATGCCATGTGGGTGTCCAGATATTTTCTATGGTGTGCACACTGACCACCCAGGCCCATTCTCTTAGATGTAGGCCTACCAGCCTTCTCGTGCTAAATTTGACGGCGCTAGAATTTTGGCGTAGATCTACAGTTTGGACCCTGAACGTAAAGCCGTAGATCTACGGGACGGACCCTGAAAGGGTTAAGAAGTTAGGTCAATACATGATTTTTGCCACTTGTGAGGACTAGGTTTCATTTCAACAAATTCAACATGCCATAGAAAGACAAAAATTTAATCTCTACCTAATTTATTTTTGTTTCTACTGTATATTCAGATTTTGATGCTCTACAACTACCCACAGTTTAAGGGTTAAACACCATTTTTACCTTGCATGATCTGCTCCTACTTCCAACATCTGATCAATGTGAGAAGTGAAATCAGAGAATGCTGCGACTTTTTTACGCAGTTGTTGGAGTTGGTCGGAAACATACCACCAAGTTTCTTGGACGCCCTGTTCCACAAGCCTTCGAGTCTGTTCAAACTCTAGTGATGGTGTAAAGTCGGACAATCCTAAAACAAAATACAAAATTTTATATACCAAATTGTAATACCAATGTAATACAGGAGGACCCCACATACACAGCACTTATTTTCGGTGTTCCACATTGTTGTTAGCTTTCAATGAAGCCATTGTTCCACCCACTTGTGAGAAATATGTTCCAGTGAGTGGAACATAATGAACAACGGCTCAGTTTGAAGCCAACAAAAGATTGGAACACTGAAAAGAAGGTGCTATATATTTGGGGCCCTTTTCTACATAAAGATTAAAAACTATACCATACTTTCAAAGAAAAATCTTAATGCAGTACCAGCAGACAATCAGTATTACTATTCACAATAAATTTATGATGGTGCTGAATGTATCTACATAACAACCTGGCTTGCGCTCGGCAGTAACATCAGCTTGTTGCAACATTCTCTGCGCGTGTTCCAGTTTCTTCTGCAGCTCGGCTACCATGGCTGTGTTGCCACTGGAGGTCTGAGCTCCTCCTCCTCGTCCCTCATCATTATTGAGAGAGTTCACCTGTCTATAGAAAATGGGATTTAGAACCAGGGAATCTCAATAAATTCTATGACAATTCATCTTTCTCACATGAAGAAGCAAAAATTCCATGATACTGATTAAAGATAAACATGTAATTGCATGTAATGATAAAATATAAATGTCACTGTATATACATATCAAAAAACACTCTCCACAATATTACCACCTGTTGACTGGTTATGGCTGCAATACAAGTAAATGAGGATTTAATATTTAGTTGTGTTTCAATCACTGATCTATCCAAAGGAGGTTTGACTCAAGCTTAATTTTCTGAATTTGTTGCAGTGTGTTAGTTAAAAATTTATTTTTTAAATGGCTAAAAGGAACTGCCTAAAATCTATTTTTTTTTTTTTTGATAACTGAATGTTTATTGCATGTAAGGTATCCTCATATCCCACATCCCCAAACCCCTGCACCTCACTGTACACTACAGCAATAAACAGTAAGGCCCCACTTATATGGCGGGTTAGGTTCCAGGCTGTCGCCGGAAAGCAGACATCGCCGGAAGGCAGAACGCCATTTTTTCCATTTATAAATGCATATAAATGCCAGACAACAAGTTTACACTAAATTATATTAAGTTAGTAATAGAACTAGGCATTAAAAACACACAAAGTAAAATACATTCACAATAAATTCATTACTTATCCTTAAGTATTTTTGATCTTAATGTAGGGAGAGAAGTGAGTAGTACTTATTTGTAGGAAGTCAGGTGTAGGTAGCCCAGGTGTAGGTAGCCCTGGTTCCCCATCTCATACTTAATATACGATATTTAAAACATCTCAGAGAGGTAAAATACACATACAGTACACTCATTATTTACCTTAAAATATGTGCAGTCTTAATATAGGAAGAGAGGTGAGTATAGTATTTATTTGTAGAAAGTCAGTGTAGGTAGCCAGTAGGTGTAGCCCAGGTGGGCTACACCTACCAGCTACCTACACTGTGGCCCAGAGCCATATTATTAACATCGACATACCTTGTTCACTGAATTTAATCATTTCTAACAACTACCTTTAGATGCCATCATAAACAAAGGTAATGGATAATTCATGCCGAAAATTGTAAACAAAAGCGGAGTGAGGGAGTGGCTGGGCCAAACGCAGATTCATACACGTTTTCTCTGATGGCTGAACAGAGAAAACGTAATGTTGTCCCTCCACCCGGCTACGACACAGCTCCACAAGTATTATTATCAGAGCACATATAAAAGTGTATGCAATAAATGCCAGACAAGAAGTTTACACTAACTTATATTAAGTTAGCAATAGAAACAGGCATTAAAAACACAATAAAAGGTAAGATACACACAGAATATACTTATTACTTACCTTAAAATATTAATATTAACCCTTTGACTGTCGCGGCCGTATATATACGTTTACGAGGTACCATGTTTGACGTATATATACTCATAAATTCTAGCGGCTTCAAATCAGGCAGGAGAAAGCTGGTAGGCCCACATGTAAGAGAATGGGTCTGTGTGGTCAGTGTGCACCATATAAAAAAAATCCTGGAGCACGCAGTGCATAATGAGAAAAAAAAACTCCGGCCATATTTTTTAATTAAAATGCCGACTTTGTGGTCTATTTTCGTATAGTATTTGTGGTTGTATTCTCGTTTTCTTGGTCTCATTTGATATAATGGAAACTATATTATAGAAATAGAGGTGATTTTGATTAATTTTACTATAAAAAGAACCTGGAAATGGAGCACAAAGTACGGGAAATGTTTGATTTTTGCCGATGTTCAAAAGTAAACAAATGATATCATTGTCCAATAAATGTCCAAATAGCCATTCTAATATGCAGCAGTCATGAATGGGTTGATGTAATTTTTACAATTATTACAGTATTGCAGTAGTCTGCATAACAGTAAATCTTCTATTTTTTGTTTGAATAAAATTTCAAAATAAAAAGCAAGAGTAATATCACAGGGGCCTGGAGACATGACTGATGAACAAAGAAAATGTTATTTTAGAGCCAGGAATGTCTGCATTGTTCATTCTGGTCCTTATTTTGAAATTGTCATATTTTTTAATTTTCGTGAAATTGGCCAAATTGCAAATTTCTGACCATGTTATTGGGTAGTTGAAATCAGTAAATGGGCAGTTTCTTGTACTCAATCGATGGAAAAAATGGAGTTCTGAAGAAATAGCTATGAGTTTGGTTGACTGGAATAATGGAATTAGCCGAAAATAGGGCTCAAAGTGGGCGAAATCCCTGATTTGTAAATATCGCCGAGGTCGCTAACTTCGCGAGAGCGTAATTCCGTCAGTTTTCCATCAAATTTCGTTTTTTTGGTGTCTTTACAATCGGGAAAAGATTCTCTATCATTTCATAAGAAATTTTTTTTTTTTTTTTTTTTTTGAAATTTTGCAACACCAGGAGACATCTCAGGATTGGGGGTTGCAACAGTCAAAGGGTTAATGTGTGAGAGGTGAGTGGCAGGGTGTTTATTGAATAAAATCAGAATGGCACACCATCATCCTCTAACTTGGCACTTAAAGCAAGAGGCTTACAACTCCCCTTTTTAACACAGCTAAGCTTAGACGCAATTGTCAATGAGAGCCAACTAGTTAACGAAAGAGTAAACGAGAGAGAGAATGAGATACAGAGCTCAGACATTGTAAGAACACAAACTGAACAGGTAGTGGGTGATCACTTGGTCAGGCGAAATAAATGCGTATTAATATGTGTCTACTTTTAGTTCATTCACATACGTTTGTAAGAGTTTGTAAGACTTTTACCTGGAGTTTACCTGGAGAGAGTTCCGTGGGTCAACGCCCCCGCAGCCCGGTCTGTGACCAGGCCTCCTTAGGTCAGTGTCCCAGGATGCGACCCACACCAGTCGACTAACACCCAGATACCCATTTTACTGATGGGGAACATTGACAACAGGTGGAAAGAAACACGTCCAATGTTTCTACTCTGGCTGGGAATCGAACCCAGGCCCTCACCGTGTGAAGCGAGAGCGTTAACCACCAGGCCACCAGAGTATTTTTTTATTATAATAATTACCTCACAATACAAATACTCTTACATTGTGTACAAGTTGTACAAGTTAGTTCAGAATAAACAAACAGCAACACACCATTTTTAGAGTGAATGAAGATAATAATAATATTAATAATAATAATATTATTACTATTATTATTAATAATAATTCTAATAATAATAATATTATTATAATAAAAAGCACTAAACCCACAAGGGTTGTGAATTGCTATACATAGAGTAAAGGCATATGAAAAGAATATTTTTCTACAGTTATCCCCCAGTGTTTGACTAGAGAAAACGTAATTCTTCCGACACTACCTACACAGTTGCTTTGTAAACAAATCTTATATTTACATCAATTTTTATTCTGTGAGTGTATGTATTATGTTTATATGCTATGTAACAGGTTTCATATATAATTTTGAGGAAAATATCATAGATGGATTAATGAAAATGCCTACATTGATGTAAAATAAGACATTTAGTGTGCCCAAGAGTGATTATTATTATATAGTATTGGCGTCATGAGTAGAAAGAGACTTAGCGATTTTAATGTGTACCTGCACACCAGCACAGTGTGTAAGTATATTTAGGTACAGGTACACATAAGTATAATTATCAGAGTACATATAAAATATGCAGTAACTTTAAAACACTTGAAATTTTGGAAAGTTTCCTGACATAATAGATGTGGTCGCGGAAAATGTAAACAAACCAGGTGGGGGGCGCAATATTTGAAAGATCGCTTGCCGTATAGCAAATTTTGATCATAATTTGACATCGCCGTATTAGCAGAACACCGTAAGGTGAAACACCATAAAGTGGGGCTTTACTGTAGCTGCATGTATCTATAAACTATGTCTCTTGGGGTAGTTACACTAACCCAAGAGTTATGACATATAAGTCATATCTCTATATCCCAAGAGCTCTAGGCTCTAGAAGTTGGATATGAACACCATGGAGAGGTCCAGTAGCTTTATCTTAATAATAATAATAATAATAATAATAATAATAATAATAATGATGATAATAACAATAATAATAATAACTTTATTTACTACATGTACAAAGTATATAGGCCTAGCTGACATCAATGACATACAGTGGACCCCCGGTTATCAGCTGTAATCCATTCCAGAAAGTCGGCCGATAACCGAATTAATATTTCCCATAAGAATTAATGGAAATACAATTAATCCATTCCAAACAAAAATATTCACAAAAAAATAATTTTTTTTAAAAATTATGTAAGTACACCTACCATCCGACTTACGACCTGCTCGATATACGACCACTCGACTTACAACCGTGCTTTTTAAGCCAAATTTCTGGGAAATAAACAACTTTGTGTTGTACACAATGTTTATCCTAAACATTACAGTATAAAATACAGTACTAACAGCATAAAAAGTAAACTAAAAAATGAAATACAAGAATAAAACAATAAAATAAAGTCATTACAAAAATGTGATGTTGATATTCAGTAGTAAAGTTTGACTTATATCCATTTCAACTTACGACCGGTTGGTTGGAACCAAGCTCGGTAGTAAGTTGGATGGTACCTGTATTACATACCTTTATTGAAGACTAATGCTGGCTTCTGGAAGATAGGGAGGAGGAAAGAGAGAGGAGTTAGTGTTTGGAAGGGGAATCCCCCTCCATAAAGACTTTAGGTAGCAAAGCCCTCTCTGGGGTTACTTCCCGTCTCTGTCTTTTATTGCCACTAGGACCAGCTTGAGAGTCACTCGACCCCTGTCTCACAAAATAACTGTCCAGAGTGCTCTGTTTCTGGCATCTCTTTAAGATTTCCCTGAAGTGGGACAGGGTTTTGTCACTAAACATGTTGCAGATATGGCTTGTTTCAGCTTTGTCAGGGTGGTGTTTCTCTACAAAAGCTTGCACCCTAGTCCACATTGCACACATCTCTTTAATCTCTGAAGATGGCACCTCCTTCACTCCCTCTTCCTCCTCCTCTGAAGCAAGC